ACTGCAGCCCAACTCGGCAGACACATACAGCACCTCTCCGGTGAGCTTCAACTGTAGTGGCTACAATCAGGCAACGTTATGATGAAACTGCCACATTGATGCTTACCGAAGTAACACAAGCATACCGATTAGAATCGCTGCATATAAGTTAACCGGGAGCGTTTTTAATTAGCAGAGCAGGGGAAGTAACATGCAGTAGCTGATAAGTGGTCATGACTTTGAATGTAATCTGTCGCGAAAAAATTCGTTTCCGCGTCCGGTGTGAAAGCGGCTTGACATGCCCGTATTCGCGTCTTTGCATTGACTTTGAATGTAATCTGTCACGCAAAAAATTCGTTTCGTGTCCGATGTGAAAGCAGCTTTATGGATAGTACGCGACAGCTAGAGAGAGCTCGGTTATATTATGAACATAATACAGTCGAGCTCGGTTATGTTATGAACATAATACAGGTTCTGCAAACCGTGACGTTCCGTTAAGCGCGGACAAGTTGCTTTGTGGAGCTAGCAAATCGATCACTTCCACAGGAAAGAATTACCTATTTAATCTCCGCCTTTTTCGCTTTTTTTATTAGCCACAACAATTTCTAAAGGGGATGAAATTATGTCAAGGTAGTGCAGAGAAATCATTTGTAAACCGGTAGAGCTTCTGCGTTTCGCATTGCTTTCATGGTAGCACCAGAGAGCTTGCTCAGACATTTGTGAAGCATCCTGCTGATCCCGGTCATGGAAAAGTGAAGCGATCACTAACTGTAGAGGCTACAATCGGGCAACGTTATGATGAAACTGCCACATTGATGCTTACCGAAGTAACACAAGCATACCGATCAGAATTACTGCATATAAGTTAACCAGGAGCATTTTTAATTAGCAGAGCACGCAAACTAACATGCAGTAGCTGGTAACCGAGCGGTCATAACCACAGAGACAAACCCTTGCAATACAGGTTTTACAGACAGCAAGTTCTGTTACTGTGAACAGTTGTACCAAGCATCCAAATTACAAACAAGTATTAAAAGTTAGCTTCAAATGAGGTTTATGTTCACACACCTTCTGTAGAATTTCCCCTGATATCACTCTTGCGTATTGAGGACACAAACATTAGCAACAGTAACATGGCTACGTTAGCCGCTGTGCTACAGCCACAATCAACTGGCTATCATCTCAGGTTGGCTTATGCAGTAAAAGCAACTTACAGCTTCCGTGTCTGTGAGTCATGGACAGTCGCGACAGATACAGGCTTTATCTTCAGATATTTTACCAAGCCTGCGTTTGAGGCCAGTTGTTAGTGCTAACTATCGCTAGCGGTCCTGCTAGCCACCTGTAACACGTTAGCTTCACTTACATTATTTGCTGTTATATCGTTACTTACAGCATGTGGCTCCAAGCGCTTGATCGATGCAACTGCTTCAGGTTTGAGAAGCAGCTGAAACGCTTATCCTGTCTCGAATTATCCTTTATTGATAAAGCTGTCTTTGGTGAAATGCTGAGCACAATCAGCTAACGTTCCCTTTGGCCGTGGCTTTTTGCTGCCAGCAAACAAAAAAAGCTACCCACTGATTTCTGGTGGCATCGTCTTTTGGAAGAAAAATCGTTGTTTTTCTTCGCGTCCAAAAGTAAACGGACAAGCAGCTTTGGGAGAGATACTTACAAAATTGCACCTCAAATGATCTGCGGTTCTTCTTTTGTATTTCCAAAAGTGAAGATGCTACTAAGGCATAGTATGATCTGCCGTTGTTAGTGCCTGCTAGAATAGTTTCCGGTGTGGGCAGGTCCAGCGCCATGATTGGCTCTGGCTAGGTCTGTACTAATTGGATGGCACAACCTGACGTCAGGTTTTACCCAGATCTCGTGAAGATCTCGGGAGGAGCTGTTCAGAGAGGAAATCACGCTCACGAAATCACGTTCTTGGATTACGGCAAAACCCCTGTATCTTATGTTTAGAAACTTTTCAGAGGTTGGGCATGGACAACCAACATTATAACATTACTAATATGTATTAAAAGAAGGATCAGCATAATAGGTCCCCTTTAAGTTCAGGGCAGTGTGGGCAAATGTGTCCTGGTTTGTAGCAGTTATAGCAGATAATTAGTTTACAAACGGGCTTACGAGCCCGGCTCACATATGAGCCATCGACCTGCATAGGTTCCCCAGGAGTGGAAATTTCAGTGGACGGAATAGGAGCTATATGCAAACTACGAGGAAGATTAGCCCCATTTTCAGCGAGAGCTAAAGCAGTATGTTTTTCTCTGTTGCGCTCACAAATTCAATTATCAATTCGCACAGCAGTGCGAACCAATGAATCCTGAGAAGTACAGGGTTCTAATGTAGCCCGAGCGTCCTTAACCTTTTCCGCCAAGACATGAATAAAAACAGTCATTAGAGGCACCTCTGGCCAGCACGTCTCTGTAGCTAAAGAGCGAAAGGCTATAGAAAACTCAGCAACGCTCTCGGAACCCTGCCTAAGATGCATTAGACGCGTAGCCGTGTCCTGCCCACACACATCCTGATCAAACACCAACACCATTTCCCCAACGAGAGTCTCCACTGAACTCACGACCGGTGAATTAGATCGAAAAAGTGGCCCGACCCAAGTAAGGGCTGTGTCAGTCAACAGAGATAAAGTAAATGAAACCCGAGACCCCCCACATGGAAAGAATCTATATGCGCATATATGCAACGTATATGCCGCATATATGCAGCACATATGCGCATATATGCCACATATAGGCTAAATTCAGGTACATATATGTGCTTATAGAGGGCACATAGGTCTCCTATATAGCACATATACCCAGTGGCAGGTTCTGTTTGTCATACCTATTGTATAGCTCATATCTCACTTTTGCAACTGTCATACATGATGCTTAGCTCATATTTTTATTCTCAAGGTAATATCTGCATATTAGTCCAAAGCCCCTTACAGAAATAACAAGAATTTCACGCAATAACTTATTAATCGCATGTGAACACGTGAAATTGGCATCACATTTGATCTTAAATACATGTTGACATGTGACAACGGCATGTTATGTGTAAACCAGTCATTATTAACTATGGCAAGTGAGAGGAGACAAAAAGCTATGATATCAACACAAATATCTTATACTACTTGTTACATTTTTTTCCTGAAACATTAACAATAACAAGGTCATCAATTCTTTCTTGACCATACTTATTTCCATTCTATGAAGATTGAGTTGTGTATTGTGGAAGAGAAGGAAATGTATAAAAACAAAATGGTTTGATTATGTTTATTTCATCAATTAAGCATTTTTTTTCAAGTTTAAGTCACTGCCAGATTCACCACATTAGATAAAATTGGATTCACATCATTACAGCTCATACACATCCACTGAAAGGTAATACATTACACCGTTACCTCCTCCAAATGCAATGTTTTCTATCTTGTCTGTAATGCAGTTTCTAGATGAATATGGCTCAGAGGTCCTTAGTCTAAATGTGGCAAAATAAAACAAAAATAACAAAATAAAAGTACATAGAAGAACATACATTCAAGTAAATATGCCTTTCAAAAGTCATTTTCATCCCCACGTCTATTTGAGCATTTCACTGTGGTTAAAGAATTTGAAGTCTACATGGAAACGTGACTGTATGACATATTGAAACTGTCTTGGCCCCTTAAATCACAGTAAACTGAAATGAAATGCAGTACACGGTTTTTTGATTTGATTTTTTTTTTTAAATCTGAGGGTGGCCCCAAACTTTTGCCCTGTAGTGTATGTGCAAGCTTCCTATCATGAAATCATCAATATACTACATACAGTTGTTACACTGAGATCTTTTACTTTCCACATAACTTGCAAGCTGACAAATCACATGAATTGCCTTATGTGAGGTATAACAGCCGTAATTCAATACTTAATGCTCCATATCCAAAGCATTTATACCTAAACTATTTAAACATCTTCATTTAATGTGTGAACACTGTCTATCATCACAGCTCCACTGTCACTAATAAGTTTTGTCATGATTTGCATATAATTTTTATTAATTTTGGCAAAATTATTGGTATTTACTCATCCATTTGGTTCTGATGCACTTGCCTACACACTTATAATAGTGCACCCACTTGCCAGATAGACTTTCAGTCATGTGTAACAAATGAATTACATAACACAAAACATGAAATATACAGCAGTAAATGCAACTGAGGCTTTATGGATGCTGGAGGTAATTTCAAGGGCTGACTGCATAAACAGTTATGTCCAATGTATAACATCTGGACATAACTGTTTATTGCAGTCGGCCCTCGATTTGTAGTAACTACACCCATCAAATGAAGTGAAGCTGTTCAAATGCAGCCTGTGCCTTCCCTCTGGCAGGGGTGTCACAGAAATCATTTATTTAGACCCTAATTCTGTTTGTGAATGCACTGGACTATGAGGACTTGTGTTGGGTTCTATACCCTATACATAGCTCACATGCTGTAAATCAATGGTATAATCAATATGAATAACCTTACCCACACACTGGAGCCAAGAGAAAAATGTCCCATATTGATTAAACCAATTATAAGTGAAGTGTTTGTTTACAAAATGCAATAAGTGCCAAAATTACAAAATTTGAGATAATACCATAGAGTGATTAGCCCTGTGCTTCTTACACATGGTGCAAAAATCAGTTTTTAGAAATTCACACTATAAGGTATATTTTTTCATGGTCAAAGTTTGTGTTTTTCTATAAAATGCAATAGGCGCCAACGTAGAAAAAGCTGATTTACTGAAAATGAGTAAAATGGATATTTTGCATTTTTGAAACAAATTCTTCAAATGTTCTCTCTGGCCATTGAGGGCTCATATATTGTAAACACACAATAGATTATCCCCTGAACATTTTGCAAATAAAATATCCTGTGGAAGAGGTGCAATTAGAGCAGATATATTCTTCTCTTTGGAAGTTACTCTTAAATGTTTCTTTATTATTTTCCTTATTATTATTGTTTTAAACATTATGAATGCTGCAGTATGGTGACACAGTGGGTAGCGGTGGTGCACTGGGTAGCACTGCTGCCTCACAGCCAGAAGGTTGTGGGTTCAAATTCAGCCTGGAGCCTCTCTGTGTAGAGTTTGCGTGTTCTACCCATCTTTGCATGGGTTTCCTCCTGGTACTCAGGTTTCCTCCCACAGTTCAAAGACATGCATGTCAAGCTAACAGGAGATTCTAAATTGCCTGTACTTATGAGTATGTTAGTGAATGAGGGATGCGCCCATAGACTGTATAAAAAGATGGACGCAGCGCCCGGGTCTGAAAACAGGCCAATGCGGAAATCTGTAAAATTTGCATTCTATTTAATGGCCAGCAGATGGCAACGTTGGTGGTTGCAGAAAGAAGTTCAACCCTTTAGAAGGCTATGAGAAAATGACCCTACTTTCCCACCTGATTAAATATTTCAATTATGATTTTCCACATTACTTTATGGTATCTATCGCAAGTTTCAAGTCTCCTTCGATATACACTACAGGTCAAAAGTTTGGAGCCACCCTCAGATTTTTAAAAAAGACAATGACCACAAACATTCTTCAAAGCTTTGCCAGAACTACATTCATTCAAAAGAGGAGCAGAATGTCTTAAGAAACATGATTTGGCCATCACAGTCTTCAGACCTTTCTCCTATTGAACTGGCATGGGATGAACTTGATAGGCAGGTCCGGTGCTCCAACCCTAGCAATGAAAAACAGTTGTTTGAACAATCTGCATGGGAATCACTGCCAGCAGCATACTTCAAGAAACTGTTGCATCGCATGCCAAGAATTTGTGACGCAGTGATCAAGGCTAAGGGTGGCTATTTTGATGAATCTTACGTCTGAGCAAAGTCTCACAAAAATGTCTTGTTCAGCCTGAATCCTTGCTGGAAACGTGACTGTATGACATATTGAAACTCTCTTGGCCCCTTAAATCACAATAAACTGAAATGAAATGCAGTACACGGTTTTTTGATTTGATTTTTTTTTTTAAATCTGAGGGTGGCCCCAAACTTTTGCCCTGTAGTGTATCATGATGTTTATTTTTGTAAATTATGGTCCCAAATAGACTAGAATAAAGGATAAAGCCAGAATATGCTTTAGGGTCGTGACTATCCTCTGATCCCCGTCTGATACAGTCAGATCCACCCGTAGATCCACCCCTCGCTCCTCCCTGCATATTCAATTCACGCTCTCGTCCAATAGGAATCACATCCGGTTAGAAAATGACAAAATGGCGCTATTCAAATTGCCAAAATTGAGGCTTCCTAAATGGTATGCTGAAATCAATCAGTGACGTCACGGTTGCTTTGTCCAGCTTCTAATACAGTCTATGGATGCGCCCTGCAATAGATTGGTGAGCTGTCCTGGGTGTGTCCCTGCCTTTCACCTAAAGTCAGCTGGCATAGGCTCCAGCTCCCCTGCAACCATAGTCAGGAAGAGGCAGTATAGGCAATGGTTGGATGGATGGCTTTATGAATGCCTTTTAAACTTTTATACTCACAGAGTGGAAATTACAGATATGTAGATGTGGTCTAATTCTTTGTTTGTGAGGGTTGATTTTAGCATTGTGACTGACCCAACAGTAAAGCAAGAGCCAGATTTAGGAACTTACTTTGCAAAATGAAGGTTTTAGTCTTTTGGGCAACATTTGCTTGGTGGCTTGCAAATGAGCTAATAAGCCTTGTCAACACATAAATGACCTAGCTTTGTAATAAATTACTATATACTTGCTCATGTAACGCTAGTTACGTGCGGAAAAAAATGATTATTCACTGTTTCTAGTGATTTACATTCACCAAGTAAGGCTAGCTAAACAAAGGAACTAACTGTTAGCTGGCTAACTTAGCCAGTGAGCTAGTTTACAAACTTTGGTTGTTAGCTAATGTCATATTTGGTGCATGTCAATGCCAGCCAGAGAATAATATTGGCTATTCACTCTTTTTATTGACTTAACTAGCTAGCTAGGCTAGTGAACTAGCTAGCAAACTATTTTGCTAGGTTAACTAGTTATATTTGGAGAATAATCATGCTAGCTAGCTTGCTCGATAACAATAAGTGACAGGAAACTAACCATTTACTGTTTTCTGTCGATTACGCTATGTGCACAAGATGTAATTGGCTAACTAGCCGGCTAGCTAGGTAGTTCGCTGGCGTAGCTAGTCATTTGTTGCACATAAATGCTAGCTAGCTAGCTAAATGGCAAAATAATGGCTATTCACTTTTACCCATTCATTTCTAGGCATGTATCTAGCTAGCTGATAGTGGCCCACTTTGTAGTAACGGTTGCATGGAGATGGCCAACGGCAATTTAAGTCACTGATCAGCTTCCATTGAGTTATGTAGTGAATGTTTGCTGAAACTGTGACTCCCCATCAGCCAAGAACAAATCATGGGGTACTCGCCCGTTTGTGTAGAGAATATGTAGTTTGCAAAAATTGACTAAAAAGCATATCATTTTTGGCAATAAACAACAAATTTGATGTGACCATTTGCATCCATGTACCCTGTAGGCTATTCTCGAAGCGAGCCGGCTCATAAAATTAATTTGACTTTGAGCAATGCCGGAAAGTGTCTTGACCCCATTATTAATTTCCAAAGGGATTTTAATTCCCAAACCGAGAGCTAAGTAGCTGTGATGTTATCACTTCGCTACTCTTTGTGGACACCAGTGGGAACTTGCCTCACGCACATTCTCGGTATGGTTCTTGGTGGTCGTTACGATGTATGTATAATCATTGTATTCAGCACAGGGGTGTACACATGTGATCTATTTCTCCTATTGCTCGGTAGGTGGCTTCCTCCTACCTGCACAAGGCAATCCTCTTGTTAAGCCGTGGCGTAATGCATCACGTGATAATACTGTTTCCGGGTCCAAACCTGCTTGACTCTATACTGGCAGTATGCCAGACCGTTTTATTCCAATGTGCGTTAATCAGTCAGACATGTCCGGAGCTGTCATTTGATGGTTGATGAAAAGGTGAAGGATAGATGGATACAGCTCATAAGGAAAGTCACAAAGAATTCAGTGAAACGTTGACCCGGTGTGAGTGGTCCAGTTTGCCCCTCACTCAGGTTATCATTTGCAAGTGGACCTTTTAGCAAGCCCCATTTACATCTTTGTTCGCCGAGTAAATTCTTTCACTTTCCAGGCGCAGGATTCATTTGGCTTGGGCTCAGCCCCACTTTACTTACCACCACATTTCCCCTGTTCTCACAAGCACGGGCCCCACACGGTTCAAATTATAGGATATTTGAGCCCCTAAGAACCATACCGGGCCATCCCGCACTTTTAGCGAAATTGAGTTGAGGTAGTCAGCATGTGCAGAAAACTGAGATCTACGTTTCCTAAATGAGCCAACCCAATCTACCCACATGGATTGTTCAAACAAGCAAACGTCCTCTCTGCCACTGTACATATGCACTGCACTGCCTTAGCCATAGTGGACCATCCCACAACTTTTCCATTATTCAATGTAAACATGGCGGCTCGGTATCTCACTGATGAGGAACTGCTTGCTATGATTGATGATGATGGTGAAGTGGAAGATAATGGAGACCCAGAGTTTGTCCCAAATGAATCAGAAGATGATGGTTCTGCTTCAGAAGGAGGTACCTTTCACTTTAAATGAAACAGAAGGGCATCCAAAACCGACATAAAAAGTGCATAACGTAATTTTACATATCTTGGGTTTATAACATAAGCAGTGTTTCTAGTTCCCAGATACTCTAGATGACACAGGAGGCTGGCAACTTTAAGTCCCATTTTCTCAGAAGTTCCCCAGCATGGGTTGGCCCAGTATGGCTCTTAGGGGCTCATTTATCCCTTTTTAACCGGTTCGGGGACTTCAGAAAAGAAATTTGCCTGTGTGAACATGGTAACTGGCTCGACCATGTCTACAGTGTACTGCACGTAATTTTGTTACACAACGTATTTGGACCTGGAAACAGTATTATCACATGATGCATTATGTCAGACTTAACAAGAGGATTGCAGATGGGAAACATGTTTGCGCGGTAACCGCATTTTGTTGTTTTGTCTCTCAAAGACAATAATATCCATTGGAATGGTAAATCTGACCCTCAAACTCTGGTTTTGAGCATGTATAGTTTGTTTTGTTGATGAAAACTAAATGCGTGACGCACTGATATTACTGGTCGCATAGATTCAGTATATATCACTTCTCACATTCCCACGAAACAAATGTATGTAGTGTACACCATATGCATTGGAGGGGCCATCTCCCTCATCAAGGTCATCACGGGGTAATTGCGGACAGGTGTATGCAAGTGCAGGAGTCCGCCATTGCCCCATGTATCTGGTGTCGAAAAATCGTGTTCAAAGACAGTTCTTACAGCACTGACCTGATGCAAGAATATTTTTGAAGCATTCATCGGTTTATTTTGCATTTTGATTTGTGTATTTCAGATTACAAGATAGCGACATGATCGCATTTTACATGGTGGGCCAGAAAGACTTAGCCTGACTCCGCCAGCCTTCGTACTTCCGCTTAATTTCATTTCGCTTCATTGTTCAGTCTGGTCACTCGGAGCTCTGCCTCGTTTACCTCGGCAGAAAATACGCCGGACCAACCAACGAACAGAAGGCGTAGCCGAGAGCCATGATGTAGCAGCTGCGCCGAGTTTGAAATTGTAGTCTCCGAAATCAACAATGGCCATGGACATAGATACACGGGAGGACATAGATTCGCTCTGTCGTGGAGAAAATCCCCGGTATCAGCGACTTAAAGTCACAACAAGAGGAATGTTTGGTTAGTTTTTTGAATGGAAATGATGTTGGAGCGCTATTCCCTACAGGTTTCGAGAAAAGTTGTCATATCTACTTAATATCCATCATGAAACATATGAAATAGGCACCCAGTTCATCTCTGTAAGAAACAGCCGAACCACCACAGCTAGCTTGTAGCTTCTAATGTTACATTGCCAGCGAATTTCACACTATTTAAGTTAGCAGCGAACTTTTTAAAAGCTGTGTTTTTGTTTGTGTCACAAGACCTATTCACTGTCTCAGTGTTATGTTGTCATTATCCATGAATGAAATGGCTGTCTGAGACAGCCAAACACTTAGAG